GCATCCACAATCCAGGTTTTCCATGGTGGTCTAGCTTCAATTGACTCATGATCTCAACTATTGAAATTATTACAATCTCCACAAAACCCCTTTTGATGCTAAATAATCATGTTTTTAATTTACATTTACCGTTAATATGAGTATCAATTCATAGTTCTCTTATGTTTTCTACACAACATTATCGATAATTCCAAGCCTAATATTAATTTTGTTTCTAGATGATTCATCACATTTATCAAATATTGGATCTGAGTTCATAACATTTCATATCTTAGAATAACTAAATTCTTTACACTGTTTATGGAACCAATCGATGGATCATGTGATGTGTACCTTAGGGTAAATATTAGGAACCATTGTTTGCCAGTTGAATGATCAAGTTGTACTTTTAGTGAATAATCAATTTTTCAGATATATTCTTAACTCTGTCTCCACATAACGCTATTATGGTGTGATTTTACGTCAGAAAATGTATCTGATGTAGTTTTTCAATTGTTGATATTGAGTGGATTGTAATACTTGTGTGAAGTTATTCATTAATTGAAAGAAATTGTAGTAAAGAAATGTAAAGGATTAGCAACAAATGTATTGACCATGTTGTTATTGGATTGGATAATTCTCTTCCTGAAATAGTGCCATTCTGACTCTTATATAGTTTCACGTACTAACGTTGAGCCAAATCGAGCTAGTGACAACGTCTGTCATCGTGTTGAATTTGAAATAGTAGGAAATAGGTTTGAAGCGATTTCATAACCGCTAAAGTAACTCTTTGTTTTTGAAAACGGAAATTTGTGCATCGAGTAGTCTAACACCGTTAATCTTTGTTTGTATAAACTATCTTATGAGCATGCTAACGGAATTCGTAATTACATAACAGATGTGAATGTTTTTTTAGAAAATTAATAACTAACATATGTGTATTTATAATGGTTATTGTAGACCTTGTACAATATATCCAAACCACCAGACTTTTTTTCTGTCCTTTGGAATTTGTCACTTAATGTGCACAGTAATATAAAATGTTATTTGACAATTGAAAAATCGTTATTAGGTATCACTTTTTTATGGTAGATTGAATCTATTAAAAAATACCATATTTTGCTGTTCCTAATGTTGCAGATAGTTAGTAAACATCCTGGACCTTGGTTTCGTGCAGTTTGACACGTTTCAGCAGGGTTTACTTGTAATCTTGGGGGAACTAGTGCAACTTTGCACTCTGAGATGTTACCTACCCACTACCTTCAAACATCTGTCAACAGAACACAGTGTACACAATGTCTATTCTCTTAGACTAATGATAACATTAAATTCAACTGAACATACCTGGCATTAGTCAGTGCTCAGTAATCAATCAATTGTTTTTACTATTTTTTATGTCCTTAGTTATACGATAATCGCGAAATACAACTGCCAATTTAGATACGCTGACTTATACGACCAAATTAATGACGCTTACACACGTACGAGCAACCCAGACTTCCGATTGGTCCTTTTTCCACCTAACCATGCTTATTAAGACCAGAACGCCAATCTCAACCTCCGCATTGCGAATCCTATAAATCAAACATGCTTGGTTTATATATAAGCAAAATAACATTTGTACAAGGTCAAGCCAGAAGTGGCCGTGATTATGAGAAATTGTGACTAATAGACTGAGAATAGTAAATCATATAACAGTGACTAATAAGTGATTTAAGAGTTTGTAATAAGAGGAATATAAATATATATAGTTTAGTTAGTACTAATCCATAAATAGATCTCAACAGTTTCCATCCATTTTACTCGTCGGGATAAAACACTATTTATTTGCGTTTTGTTGATTCGATTGTTTCAAGCACTCAACAGGCCCCCCAACTCTGAACTGTACTTCTTTTAAATGTGTTGACGGAGGCGGTTAGTGTTCCTAGATTTCGGACACAAGAATAAAGTTTGAGTCAAAAGCGTGTTTAGTTACGTTTACTTTGTAAATGAGTTGCATTTGTTACTAAAAATCTGAAATTTACCAGGTTTCGAGATATTTCTGTAAAATCGATGGACGATATATCAGAGTTATCTATTCTGTATTAGTAATTATAAGTAAAATGCGGGTCGTGTGTATATAATAACGTTTATTTTTTTCCTAATGTCAATTTTCTTCATTATAAAATCTCAAACATATCGTATATTATTAGTTCGAAATCAGTTTACTGTTTATTTGCAACTCAAGTATGAGTGCACAATTTTGTTATTGCTTACTTTTTTATATGTCATGAACCGGTTGGTTAATTTGTTTGTACGTATACTGTGGTCTTGTGTTCTTCCAACTAAAAATGACTTAATTCCTGGGCTTTCTCATTATCACTTTGGTAATAAGCTGTTCAGTTATGCCACATCTGTTGGAGGAAGTGCGTTATCCACATAACTATTGAGTTCAGATAGTGGACAATAGAATGACGTTTGAAACAAAAGGTACTGGGTTCGAATCCTGGAAAGAACAACTCTGAGGTCCAAGTACATCAAGCTGGCGAGTCCAAAGCGGGACGAAACGCACATCCTACATTTCACTGCTAGCTACCGTTCATCTCTTCTTAAGATCATAATCTCAGTCTGTATACTGAATGGCTTATTAAACAATCGACATTGTGTCATCGTTAAACGCTGGTAATGCAATTCATAATTTAGTCGGATGCAATGAAGTGTTTCATGAACATTATCGTTATATTCTTACCACTAAAATAAATTATCACTGTTTTCCAAGTGTAAATTTTTCATACGAATACTTTTCAGTTATTTTGTAAAGCGGTAATTCAGTAGTTTAGGCGTTCAAATTTCAACCAATAACCTGTGGCATTGAACTCTGGTCCACCCACTTAGGTTTGATGACGGGTAACATCAGTAGTCCTTACACTTGAAGTGAGATTCAGAGCCAAGTACCCAAATCTGTACCCGGAAAATTACTTATTAACAGTCATTTGATAATTACTTTTGGAAAATTTGCTAAATATTATTTTATACATAAAAATGTTTTTATTTAACTGGAATGAAGATAAGATATACTTGTACTTGTACTTCTAAACGTAACTTGTCTGCTCTAATAATATTAATAGTTATTATTAATCCATAAAATTACTTTTAATCATCTTTTAAAGTGGTAAACCTCCTTGAGGTAAATTCCAAACATTTTAATAAGAAGCAGCTGTAGTCTGTTGAGTTTAATCACTTGGAGAATTAGACAGGACTGTACAGTAATCTTTAATATATTTTATTGTACCTTACGTCTTTCGTTACTCTATAACCAATGTAATTAAGTGGTTTAAGCAGTGACAATTCCAAATATGTTATCAGGATGACCTTCAAACAATCTCGAAAAATCTCGGTCAGATGTTGGGTAGTCAGAGAATAGCAAACAGTCTGTTGAAACCTTCTATAGGTTGTTTTGTCTGGAAATCGAAAAGCGATGACATCTGAACATTCAGTTTCCGAATCTCTACAAGATTTAAGAGTTTACATATTGTCAACGGTTAGGTTTATAATTTGACCTTGCTAGTTGTGTATTTTTTTGACAATGTCTCAAATAAAATAGATTTGTTTGCAAAAGGTTTTGAAAATTATTTATTGAAAGCTCATTAAAGTATGAAATGCTTCAGTATACATGGCGTTGGAGAGTGATATAATTTGTAGAAAATCATTTGCTTTACATTTTGGTATTTCACGTTTCTCTCTCTATCATACACGCAAACTCACAGTCACACATACATAACTTAGCATGAATAGAATCTCTGATAACTTGATAAAACCTATACTGGGTGTGTATTTATGGGCTTGTGCATGTATATGTATGTTTCCGTGCGTTCGTGAACAAATGAATATCAATAAACAAAAAAAAAACGTATTGTGTGCGTTTGTTGGCATAGACCATTTCATATTTTGTACATTACATCAGTAATAGATATTGATTAGAATCAATAAGATTTGTGTATTACTGATTTACTTAATACAAATACTTAGCACCTTATTACTCATCATCCCTATCATATTTTTGTTATTGTTATTGTCATTATTATCTCATTCACTAGGTACTTGGCTGCAAACCATACTATAAGTATAAGAAGGGTAGTGATACGGTTACTGAACCCTTAGTGGACGGAGCAGGGTCCGAGCCTGAGACTTAGTGGCTAAACATCGAATGCTTTAGCCACTGACCCACAGTTTGAGTACTCTAGCCTCACATTTCAAAACGGTGCACCCGGTATCGAGTCAGTTAGACTAGTGAACATATTGCAACTTGGTCGATAGAATTTGATCAGCAATAAAATGGACTTGGTATATATGACATTGTTCACAATTCGGTGATCAATCAATTATAAATACATTTCAGTCCTACAGAAGATCAGTTGTGACCCCGATAGGTCAGTAAGTACTAATGTCTCTGACTGTAAAGTTGCGTGACACGGGCTCGAATCCTCCAAGAAACATCAGTTCCCTCATTATTGCAGGTATACCCTGACAAATGTCAAATAGCATTAAAGCGAGGTCAATCAAGGTTTGTTGTCAACTAACTCCAACACTTCATTTTATTATCCCCGTTCCAATGATTTTGTGCTTCTATCAAATTAAAAACTTGAATCCTACTCTGAGTATATTGTCTTGTATGAAAGCTAAACGTTAGTTGTCATAAGCCCAGTTATCTGTGCGTGGTATTTGTTAAGATTAATTTTAGTATGACATATCGTTCACGCTGATTTCTGTGTTAAATTATGGATTGTATCCCCTGTACATTCTTGAGGAAATTACCTGTTATGACATACCGGAAATTGTTCTGAGTACTACTTTTCATTGGTTTCAATCACCTGCAAATACTCTATCATTTTTGTATATCTTTAAATCAACCGTGTAAATAATATTGGTGTTCCAGTTAAAGACGTATCATGGTACTTAGTAGCATAAGTTGTGTAAGAAACTTTGACCATCTTTATCAGTTATTTATTGCCTCCTGTTTTTTTTTAATTTTTTATATACAGTGTTAATCCAGTGAATTTTGATGCATCACTGGTGCATAGAGCTCGTTATTTCATTATTAAATCAGACTATGTGTACAATGTGTACCAATCTATAAAATATGGCGTTTGGTGCTCAACTCGTACTGGTAATCAGTGTTTGGATGAAGCGTATCAATCAGTACATGGTTCTACTGTGACTATAACAACAACGACGACCGCCACCACCACCGCTGCTAAAAACGTCAATAGTCGTAACGATGATAATAATAATAATAAAGATAATACTAGCATAATCAGTGATGAATCGAAGTTACTTCATAACAGTAAACTACAATCAGATAGTAATGAAAAAGTAACAGGAATTACTTCTACTACTAATAATAATAATAAATCCTGCCCAACTAACAATCCTGTTCAATGCCCAAATGATGTGAGTTCTTTGTTCTTTCGTGCGTAATGTTACGTGCAATATGTTTCTTTATTTTCTTTTTTCTTCAAGAAAAAGGAAAGGAGAATCATAATATCGATTTAATTCATTTGTTGTTTGCTAGTTTCTTTTTTATACTGTTCAAAAAGAGTAATTATAATAGTCGTCGAAGAATAAAGTGAATTCATGTATTCTTAATGATGATGATAATGATTATTCAGCTGTCGACCATCTGAAGTATTTGTAGCTGACTTTTGAAGAGGAATAATAAGATGTACACATAACTTGTTATATTTGAACAGAGTTGGATGATGTCTAGCAGTGGAATTCAGGTCGCGTTTCGTCTCATTTGTGACTCCTCAGCTACTTTCACATGCATTTCAGTGTTGGTGTTCACATTGAAACTAAAAAATATCACCTTTCGCTTCAGATTCCTAACACTTTATCCACTTATTAACTTGTAACGTAATCACTAAATCCAGGCAATTTGTACAAGACGTTTATGTCCCAACTTGAACTGATCGAAATTCATTCAAAATATCAACAACGGAATAATCCAAACCATTACAGATGAAATCAACAGAAGCTACAGGTTGTGACTGCATAATATAACACATTTCAGTCAAAAAGGCAATCTAATCTCAGTGTTCATACTGAGACTCAATCCTACTCTCTTTCATTTCAAATAACAATACATTATCGATTGACCCATGTCACACAGATGTCCAATAGCATATTCAATGGGTGCTGTATTTACATGGTTGTTATAAAGGATTTCGATTATCTGATTGTTGGTATTTAAATTCAAATTTTGATCATTCATAGTTGATGTATATGCATCTTGAATGGACTGCCTCAGTATAGCCATTGTGCCGCTAATTTTTTTTTAGTATAGTATGAGACCCACCTCGTGGATTCCACTGCAGTCTATTATTTAGATGTATTTAAAAAATAACTCGTGCCTCTTTATATTTCATTCTTATGGATTTTCCATCTACACACACATGCATTGTATTGTATTGTATCACAAAAATTCATCTTTTACATTATAAAGGAATTACTTTCCGCTTTTTTTTAAAAATAGAAACTCACTATTCTATACAAATCTTTTAAAGAAAACCAATGTTTCACAAAGACTATATGTGTATTTGTGTATATGTGCTCTTCTCTAATTTATAACCTACTGGATCATTGTTTTTCAAAATGTTATCATAATAATATCAAGACATTATTGATGCTACTTCAGATAGTATTCCATTTTTAGTTTACCGTAGACAGATGAGAAAAAAAGGATAGAAAAAGAAAGAATTTGATTTGAAGGAAACACTATCAGAAAAATTATCGTCGAACCATTACCAGATATTTCTATTCATAGTTGTTTATTATAGTTTACAAGATGAAATTCAAAAAATGTCTATTGTCAAAATGTGGCTAACAACATGTTGAACACAAAACAGGTATTATCAGTTGAAATAGATGATGTCAACACAATGTTGCAAATTGATTGAAGTTAGACATTTGAACCATTTTATTCTATCTATCAATGGTCTAAACGTTGCACACATCTTATGAGACTTAAAAGTCTAGTGTAATTGATTCCTAATTAGGTCATGGCTATGCACTCATATTGAATTTCATTATAGAGTAAAAAAGTTGTTCAGTATCCCCCGGGTTTTCACTGATTGTTCAGCTAAATGCTGTCAACGATATCATCTACCTTCCAACTAATTTTATTCCCTTCAGAACTTTCCTTTTGACAGTGTCTTTTGTTATTTTGTTCGGTGTTTTTTTTTACCAGTCGCCTGCTGTTGTTACAACCGCACCCATCTTGTCTGTTTGTTCTACCACGTGTACTATCACCACTAATACAAATACACCCAATAACAATGTAAACTTCGATAAAGCTAACGTTTCAAGAACAAAAGTCAATACAAACGATCCAATTATACCAATAACAACTATTTCTTCAACCATACCGACGGCAAATAATGGTCAGAACTCGACCAAATCAAAAAGAACTTCAACATCTACATTTAATACTAACGTAAACTCTTCTCCAGGACATATTATTCTATTTTTTTCAGTTAGAGAATCTGGATATCTAACTGGAGTTGCTGAAATGATCAGTCCGGTTAATCCACAAAAGCGTTCTACAATATGGCAAGATTTGCGATTTAGAGGAGAATTCGCTGTGAGATGGTTGTATATTAAAGTTAGTTATATGTATATAACCTTTTTTTACTATTAAAATTAATCCTATATGCTGTAACTTTTATAAACGTCTTACAAAATCATATTGAGAGTTCATCGTATCATGTGTTACCTAACATATAAAACTTGTCAGAATTTTACTTTTTACTTGTAAATACCTCTGGTAGCTGAAGTAATCTTGAATAGTAGGAATTTTTGTCTAGAGTACCAAATCAACACAGTTTTGGCTTATAGATTATTATTAGGGTAAAGTAAATCTTAGTTTTAGAGTGTATACTAGTTGAATATGATGCATTGTAAAATGGTACAAGGTTTTAGAGAAAAAAACCCAACATGTAAAACCATTTTCAATCATATCAAATGTATTTTCTGTTATTATATAGATTCTAGTAAAATCGATATTCACACTTATTGTTTATTTATTTAAGCATACAAACATTAGTACAAGGAGGCACCAAATATATACGCGTCAAACAAATGATTCGACTTGTGTGAGGGCTGGGATACTGTCTGGGTGCACAAACCGAAACAAATGATTTTCTTAGGGTGTCACTCCTCGAATCTTTGACCTACAGGTCTAATCGAGAAGGCAGTGGAACAACGTCAGAAGACGTAGTCCCATGGTAGACAGTGATCAACAAGAGATTCATACGCCATTTATACTCTCAGGAGCCGACAGCCAATGTGCACTATTGGTTTGGAATCAGGGTTTCTCAACTCCCATAGGTGGATCCTCCATATCCACTAACCCGATTAAATTTACGGACATTCTCTTTTTGTCCTCTCAATTTAATGAACAACACCCCCACCACGAAAAGGCAGTGAGTAAGGCCTCCTTTCCAGTGGCTGTATACGCGTGGCCATGTAGGAGAATTTCAAGAGGGAGCACGGACTCTCTATACTCTCAGTCGTAACAGGGTATTTGGGGGACACGTTAAGTTACAGAATAAAATGGAGTGTGAAATATGACTAAGAAAAACCTAGACATTGTTAAACCGAATTACGAGGCACTCATCAGTAGGGAAATTGTGTCTGTATAGTTCGATTCTCTAAGACTATCTAGTTTCCTTGCTTATTAAAATCATAATGAAGAAACCTAAATGATATAAATATTGTAAAATTGAGTTATCATCGTTACTACTAAGTTCATTTGCTGGTAAATAATGTTTTATCATTACACACTACTTAATTGCTGTTACTCATTTACCAAATCAATTTTTTATAAGTATGAATGCTAACAGTATACGACCCAGTTTCACTTTAAACAAACCGCATGAAGTCGTACAAGTGGCATAACCGACAAACGATCACTGTTACGTGACTTCTTTACTCTATATCGGTATCATAGACGTTACCCAGTTGGTTTGTTCAGTGATTTTGTCGACAAGCCAATAAATCAATTCATGTGCTTGTCTTTCTTACCTCTCTCTCTCTCTCTCTCTCTCTCTCTCTATATATATATATATATATATATATATATATATATATATATATATATATATATATATATATATATATATATCCCTTAATTTAAAATAAAGGTTACCAGCTGAAAATTACATGCAATTAATATAATGTATAGTTGGAGTCTCTATGTATTATCTGAGATAATAGTCACATTATGATTGTTGTTAGTTATTGTTTACGCATGGCTGTGTGATTATAAAATAAACAAACGATAGGATAAAATGTATCAACACTGTTATTTTTATGTATGCAAATCAGGTCATGAGACTTTTAAAAGAGAAAGTTATTCTTAAATGATTATTTTCACGGTTCCAAGTAGTAGTTCAGTGGTGAAAACATTCAGCCTTCAGCTACTATGTCGCTTATTCGAACCACTCTCCACCTACTTCAGTTTTGAAAAGCGGGTAGTACCTTTAACGTCTACACTTAAGTTGTTACTCAAAGCTGAATTTGCTTATCTTAACCCGGTCAATGATGAGAAATACTTATGAAGTTTTACAATATGTATATATGCAAATATAATGTTCCTTCTGCGAGTCTCATTGTTCTTCCGGTTCAATAGGTTTCAGGTTTCATTCAAACTATCATATATATGTTGAGAATTTAAAGTATTTTTATGAGCTGTAATTAAATAATGTAAAAAAGTGGTTGAGGATCTGTAATATTCAGCGAACGGATGAATGAATTATGCCACCAATCATTGTTATAATTGTTTGATTCAATGTATAATAATACGACTAAATGATGTTAACTAATTACTGTGATATTACTAAGAATCGATTGTCCTTAAAGTCTGATGTAACACCACAATCAATGGTTTAGAACTAATGCACTCTAAACACTCAAGGCTCATCGAATAACAGGATCGTCAATATGCACTGTGCCCAAACTGAGGTAAACCATCTGTTTGTACATGTTTGGTTATTCAGTGACTCCCTGACATCTGTTAATCCATGATAAAGACTTTATTAAAATCTAACTAAATATTTTTGATAGGTGATGGACCTCAGATCACACTTTATAGACTACTTTGAACGAATCACGTCGTAATACTTTCATACGATTGTTGTTCACACAAGAACTTAAGCTTACTACTTTTCTCAGTGTGTTTTCTCTTGAGTTATTGAATTCAGGTAGCCACTAACTTCTTTAATAATACAATCAACAAGACTCAAGAAACCAACACATTCTTCCCGGCCCTACTGGTAACTGCATTCCAAATACTCTTAAAACTTATAACCAAAGCCATTTATCAATTCTATCCCCCTAAGAGGTACAGATGGCTGATATAGACTGATCGATTTCAATCCTGAATATCAACACACGCAAATTAATAAATTGAGTTTTGTTATTCTACTTAACAGTATAAAATTATTACCTTGATAATTACCTGGATCTTTTAGACGAAAACTATTTAGTCTACAGATTGAAACACCCATAATTATGGTATTAAGGTCTGTCAAGGACAGTAGATGAAAGAAAATTCTTCTACTAGTACTATTATTATTACTCTAATTATTGTTCAGTTACTAGTTTTCTCGCGAAATATTTAAATGTATGACTCGTTTCTGGTTTTTTTTTCGTTGAATTATGTATTTTCTATTCCCATTCACTGTTTTTTTCTTATTTTATTTGGTTTCTTCTCTTTATCCCCCCCCTTAAATTGTTTCATCAACCATAACAGCATATTCCGAACCATGTCATTAAGCATATCTTAGTTGAGTGCTATGACAATCGTCCGGTGACAGTGTTACGTGATACTAGTGAAATTTTACCACCGTCTAAAGGGGAAGAATTACTACGTATTGTACATGAATATGGATTATCTACATCATCATCACTACCGAATATGTCATCCTCATTGTCAACATCATCATCATCTCATTCGATTGGAGGTGCTAAATCATCGACCAGCAAAATTGGTAACAATCATAATTTTTCAACCAATACAAATTTGACTGATTCAAATGGATTAAATAATCATAAGACTACTAATACGAGTAGTACTTTCATTGTTCCATCATCTACCATCTTTAATAATAACAATAACACTAATAATAATAGTAATAGCAAGAATATCGTCCCTTCAGTGAGTATATGTTCAACGATTCCTGAGAATTCACAAGTTACTACTAATGTGTCGAATAAACATAAGAATAGTTCTTCGTCTACAATTATATAAATTGTCATATGATCCTCTAACTTAATTTCTTCTATTTCGTTAACTTCGGTGATATATATAATATAAATATGTACAGTTTTCTTTTTCTAAATGAAGTCGTCAATTAGACATGTGTCATCTTCAAGTTTATTCGCAGAATAAAATAATCCTATTCATTTATTGAGTATCAACTTTTATATACTACTGAAAAAAAGCAGTTTCGTATCTTTGGTAAGTGAAATAGTGTTCATTTTTTACGTTAAAATTATGTGTATGATACTATGGGTTTTTGAAGATTGTTGAATTTTATAGTTTGTATCACAAACTGAATTCAGTTAGATAACTTTTGAAAATCGGGATGTACTGGACAGCGGTTTCATCCTAGTGTTGGATGACTCATCGACAGTGAGAATCTGTGACCAGTGAAGTTCGTTTTGGTAGAATGTCGGGCATTCGCCCACCAAGAACATTAAGAGGTGATTACGCAATATCCCGAATACACCTCATTCAGGAATATGAACCACTGAATTACTAACACAGTGGTCTAAAGCTTAAGCGCTTAACACAAGACCTCAACGTCCTGGATATTAATCCCCGATTAAGTTGTAAAAGCATACTTCTGCGAAGTCTCATTCTAGGACGTAACATATGTCTGATTTCAATGATGTCAAGAGTAAAATATCTCTTTATATTCATCACTAATTAATTATCGATCACTTAATTTCAATCTAAATAGTTTGAGTATATTATACTGGCCATGAGACATGAAATGATTCAATCCTGTATGTATATGCACCATCAAATAATCCGAATTTTTTTTTAAAAATAAACAACTGCATACAATTTTTCCTTCTTTCTTTATTGCTTATACAACCAATATTGATTCGTAAAACAAAGAATACCATCTTCAAATTGGACTAGTCCTCCTCGAAAATCATTACTTTGGTGAGACTATTAATCATAAACGAACCAGTTAAATTCAAGATATTGCCTCTTGGACTTCTGCCCAAAATGCCTTTATCCATGTGACTACAATGCCTTATTGTATTAGAGCTTATTTAATTTGATGATGAGAACCCTAACTCTTATTTATAACCCAACTTTGAAACTAATAATTGATTAAAGAGGAAGAATGTATTTGTAAAATCTCAGCGAAATAATTTTGAAGTAAATCCAACGTTTCGCCTGGCAATCTGGTCCAAGTTAATACGTGATTAAAATTTCTTGAGATCACTTAAGAATCGTTGGAGGGTTGTCCATCAACTACAGTCGCGTCGAAAGATTTTTTTCCCTTTCATATTTCATCATAATTACATCATATTTAAATAATTCCAGCTCTTAAAAGTTACCAATTTTTGTTGATTTCTGATTTATTGATTCTAAATAGCTACTTACCTACCATATATTGATTACTTTTTATTTCTCGTACACAACAAATTATGGTTTATCTAGAATGCAGATTTTATGAATGTTCAGTTTGTTTAACAGTATATGTTATTTTAGTTGCGAAATGAACTCATCAAATTCATAGACAGTTCAGGACCAAGGTCATCAATTGCGTCGTCTGTGTCATAACCCCATGGTAACAGAGGTCATTCCGATAGTCAACGATTCGAATGAACTTTACTATTATTATTTGTTGGCATGATTACTTAATAGTTTCGTGTGTATGTGTTTAGTTATTCTATGATTCATTTATTGTGTTTAATGGTGTTATATGTGTTATAGGAGCTAATGATGATAGACAATAACGAAACCACTGCAATTAAACCATCTAGCTCGTAGAATACGTCACTAAAAGCATCTACATGAACTGCATATTTTTCCTTTCATATCATCATTAAGTGAATTATTAGTTTTCTTTTTTTTTCATTAAACTGGATAGACCTACGAAAGTACAATGTGTAATGTTAAAAATACAGTGTTATCATTAAGACAGATAGTAAATTTAAGGAAATATTTCCTGGAAATAAGCTTGGACCAGATTACCAGGAGAAATGTTGTATTTACTTCAGATTCTTTCGCTGAGATTTTACAAATACATTCTTCCTCTTTAATGTCTCACATCAACTCGGCGCCCAAATACTGTGAAACTATTCGATCAAATTTAGACGAAATTTCTTAGTCAACTATTTATTCATCGTTCATTACGTTTATGAAATCTCTTCTCCTTAGACTTCTGTGATCACTTTTCAAATTAATCAAGTTCATCACAATTAGTTCATTTTCGTTAATAGATCCTTCACGATGATGTTTAATCCTGCATGCGACAGTATTCAAGTTTATCTTAACAGATAAAGTCAAATATTGACAGCGACTGGTTATACTGTATTGTAAAAGTTGATTACAGAGAAATGTAAACTCGTACAACTAGTGAAAACGATATATATTTTCCACACAATATAACATATAACACACAAGTTATCATGACCTTTTGATAGTTCACCTGATATCACTTCTCTAATACATATGAAACAACAGTTTATTGTTAAAGAATTCCAAAATGCACCAGTTATTTTTTGTCTTTTGATGGGGAAAACCTTTGCTACGGATTGAAGTTATCTGTAAAATGATTAGGAGCTATCAAACACTAGACTAATTAGCTTGTTTTGTTCTAATCTGGAGTTTTACTCATGATCTTGGACTGTATCGATACTGAAGACTCTGTTTTTTGCTGAGACCAAGTTGCTCCTACTCCACCAAACTTATAATCCAGCGGTCGTTCTTTATTCCTTTGTGTCAGTCAGTTAATCATAATCAAAGTATACCCTAACACAAATTCCCACTGCCTTTAATTTTCGTGCTAGGTTCTCACAACGACATTAAATTACTAAGATATATACCAAAGGAATCGAAATAATGCAGTAGTAATAACAATGAGAGAAACTGGACATTGAGAATATGATACGAAAGGACAGAATAAAGACGTGTACATAAATAAGTACTAGAAATCAAGATCTGAAGAAAACTATGACATAAATATACTTTATCCACTGTGACGGATTCTGATTGTTATTCCTCGGACTTCAGTTTGGCAGTCTCCATCTACCAAGATGACTCTGATCAACGTTCAGTAACATCACGGAGTGATCCCATGTTTTAGTCTCGGTGCTCCCCTTCCAACCTAGTTCTTTACTAGCGGAGATCGTCCGCCGAAATAGGCGGTTTACAAGCATATATAATACATGTCCCAATTACTTTAATTTATAACTCTGTCAGTTGATTCTCCATCCTGTCTTAGTGTCCTATGCCTGATTTGAATACCGTCCTATCAGATGTTAAAGGCACGTATGGTTGTATCCTTGAATCCCACTCATGTTTTCTACTTTCATAGACCATAGTTTATAACCACAGGGTATTACAAAGTGTAGTGCTCTGTAGTAGACTCATCCATAGGTTGGAAGACGGACATTTCAAAAATGACACAAGAGGCCGACCGATTTTTCTGAATCGATGACGTTATTTGTCAGACACCACCGTTCATCACTACTTCTGCTATTGCTGAATAACTAAAAAAACATTTCCACGTATGTCTCTTCAACCTACACATTATTTACGTGTTGAAGTAGAAATCAATACTAAAACTTATCATTAACAGAATTAATAGTCGATCACAAAATAATCAGGTTGTTACCACATTTAGTTTTAATCATTTTAAATGTTTCCTAGTCGTTTTGTGGACAATATTTAATAGGATAAATAGTTAACAGTCAAAACTTACGTTTTTTCATCATATCACGTAGACAGTACTTCCCTTGATAATTTTTAAATACCAAGGGCGGCACAAAAAAATCGCTCCATTAGTAGTAGGCACTCACTACCCCCTATCAGGGATATAACATCAATACGTTTAAGTTTCATAGTGATTATCTCACTGAGTTGATATTCAATGTTTCACATTCTTTAAATTTATTCATTTCACTGTACTAAACAACCATCATCCATTTTCATCAGCTATATCTATCTCATTACCGATTTGTTTAGAATCACTTTAGGGGTATGAATTATCGACAAAACTTTAGGGATTCTTTTATGATTCATTAGTGATCCAGTATATTATTATTAACTCGTATTCATAAAACATATTATTGTTCTCTTTTGATCTGAATAATTTGACAAATAATTCCTTTCTATCATATGATACAAATTCTATTCTAAATAAGTTTCTTATCACATGGTATAACAAGAATCATACATTTCATTCCATAGATGGCTTATAATTATATTGTCTGATACTTTAAATTGGATAATAATGAATCATAATAAGTTTAAGCTTTCATCTTGATTGTTACAAATTCCACGCCTTTATGAAATGATTAAATAACTTCCAGTTGTACGTTTTCAACTTATTACTACACATATGTATACATGCTTGTTGCATTTAAAAGAAAGAGCTATTTGTCAATAATGTATTTCTTGTATTTAATACTTCGATTGTTAAACATGAATATTACTTATAAGTTTGATTACTTAATTTATTTAAAAGTAGTTATAAGAATGTAAACAACATTACTTAAAACAAAATGATACTTGAGCATAATTCCACACAACATATCAGTTCTATTTCGCATTCTCCAGTTACATGTTTTACGGAATTCATTAATTCTGAAAGTCATACATGTTTGGTAATAATGATTTTCTGAATTTCTGATAGAAGTTGAATCTCCCTCTGTTTCTATTGCTTACCATGTCTTTATTTATTTTAACACATAAATATTGGTACAAGGAGGCACCATATACATATGCGCCACACAAATCTCGTTCGATATGTGTGAGGGCTGTGATACTGCCCGGTTGCCCAAACCGAAGCAGGTGGTTTTCTTAGGACGTCACACCCCGAGCCTTCGACCTGAAGGTCTGATCCACAAGGCAGTGGAGCATCGTAAGGAGATGCAGTCCCATGGTAGCCGGTGACCAACAATTGGTTCGTACGCCATTTATTCCCTGAGGATACTGGAGCCCATGTGCACCATTGGTTTGGGATCCGGTTAAAGCGCCGGACATTCGCTTTTCATCCTCTCATTTTCGTAAACAACACCCAATGTGCGAGAAGGCAATGAGTAGGACTTCCCTGGCAAAGGCTATATACGCGTGGCCGTGTGATAGCATTTCGAGAGGGAGAGCGGACTCTCCCCACTCTCGGCCGTACCAGGGCTTTTGGGGGCTTATCAAGCATCGAAGAATGTAGATGATTTATAAGTTCAATAAAGAGGATTACAATAGGCTAGAAGTGTTGGGGATACAAGATCCCTAGAAATCAATTGGTAAACGTCTCATTTTTACACCATAAGCGACCACTTTTACCTTCATTTTGTATTTTCCACTTGGAAGAAACTTAAATGTCATTAGTTCGTTTCCTTTCTTAATAAGTTATTTTGTGACTTTATCCAAGAATAATTTGGGACTGTATTATAGACCCTTCGGTTGTGTGTTTGTTCGTTCATGCTTCTGGCTGCTTGTGGAATGTATTTTTTTCCCGGCTGGATCAGGTCTTTTCCCTTGAGTTATCAGGTATGTGGCTCAGTGGAATAACGTAGCTTGTCCTGTTACTGTATTATTGACTTTATCCCGTTTCGCTGGTTCTAAGCGATATCGTAATATTTTCAAACGTAGCAGGGTATTAGCTTTTTATTTACACTGAGTAGCTTACAGAATTCCTTCATAGAAATGTCATTTTCAGCCCCCTTCTAAGCTTCCATTCTTTTTCCTCGATGACCGTCAGTTCACGATGAATACGCAATCTAATCCAATCAGAAATTTGTAAACAATGTAAAATCATTTACCAACTGTCACAATTTCCTTGTGGATAATTCGTTTTCTAAGTTTTCGTTTGATAACTTTTTAGTATTATCTTTGTATGATCATTAACTAACTAACTAACGAAAGGAGTATATTTAAATAAATATCTCTCTTATTAGCGTACTGTTGGGGTGTTTAATCCTCAGGTAACGGTCTAATTACTGATGATTTTGTTATTCGTAGTTTGGAACAACACATAAACGAACAACATTATTTTTAATTTGATCTTCATCAGACTTTACGCTAATATACAAGAATATTTTTGTGTGTATGAAACTATTAAACCAATCAAAACAGTTTATGAGTCAATGATCATCGAAGGTCATGTGTTTGATTCCCGGATATGGGTTTGTGGATATGCACTGATTAAAAGTTCCATAACATAAAGAAATGGCCGTCTGATTTTTTCAGGTTTTCAATTGTGGTCAAACTAAGGTCAGTTCATGATTTAAACTATGATAGCTTTACAATACTTTAAAACTCTCCTATACTAATACTGGGCGTATGATAAATTTATAACAAGTTTTGGAACAGTAAATTAAGTCAAATGAACACTTACATTTGGAGAGATGTGGAAGTCACATGAAATAATTGTTACTAATTACGTATTAAGAAACAAAAGCATTGACGTCCCTAAAAATAGCTTTATTATCCACTCGTACTTTTCTCGTCCTATTGATTTATATATATATATATATATATATATATATATATATATATATATATATATATATATATATATGATATAAAATGTCACCTTATCTTTGTTTGTAGACCTTCAGCGACTATGAATTATGTAGAAAATTTAAATACGTTCGAAACGATTCAAATGGAATGTCAAACATTTACGTGTATGTGTTAATTCATTCTCAAGGTTGCATGTATGTATTCTGTAACCACGTTTAATGGTAGCTTAATGAAATCCCTATTATAACATTTCTCTCATGATGTTGAGTGGTTCCAGTATTTCACTTTCTATTTAATACATCAAAATACAATAAACTTTGACATATTTTCTTATTGTTAAACAGACTGACTGCTGACAGTTTTACATGATTTACTACTTCATATTGTTCAATCCTTTCTTCGTTAATTTCCTCTCCTCTGCGTCACTATATTTCTCATTCACCTATTAAATCTTTATAAACATTCTCTACTTGTTCGAAATTATATATGTATTGATTTCTGTTTGTGTCCATTTGTTCCGGGCATTATCATTGTGTTTTTCCTGTTATTTGTGATTTCATCCCTTTATATTCTGCTTGTTGCCTTGATTTACGAAAAGACCTTTTTTTAATTTTGTTTTCTTTAAATCATACTTTATTATTAAGTTACTTAGTAACTACAATCGATTTTGTAATAATCTTAATGTACACACACACATATACATGAATTATTGTTTGGGTAAATTTTGACATTTTGTGTGTTCAGTTTAATTTTCTTCTACATGTACATCTGTTTATTAATGGGTCCATGTGTGTGTGTGTGTGATGATGATGAATAAGTTGCTAAACACTAGCATATACGTAAACGATTACTCTATATCAACAGCACATCATAAAGCATCTATACCTTTTTTGCTGTATTTGTCTGTTATCCATCGTTTATACACATATTATACATCTGCGCTCTACTTGCCACATTCTGTTCTGTTGTCATATTTTTTTATTTCTTGGACATCTTTTTTTTATTATTCTACTACATTATTAGGATGGATTCCAAGAGAGCTGTGTTCTACCTTTTCGATTCTATTTAACCTGTTATCTTTTTTTTTGTTATAAATAAACTCAATTTACAAAATACATATTCGATGATGACATATTAACTATTTTGTTTATTGTATCCATTCGTGGTTGTTTGTCTCTGTTTATGTGTGATGCATACTTGATCTGTTCCACCTAACAGATTCACTTCACTTGTTTATGTTTGTATTATTATTATTATTATTATTGTTAACGATCATTTGGTAACTGGATTAAAAACCGACTTAAGATGTATAAATTTGTTTTTGCTACATTACTCTACTGCACTACCCCCTGAACATTGATCAATACATAATCATCACTATTTATCATTGTTCTTGCTTGTAAGCAAATTTTAGTCTTTCATTCCATGTATTGGTTATTCTTAGGTTTGTTTGTTTGTTTTCAGTTTATGTGTTTATTTTCCTTTAGCCAGTACGATTACGCAATTACTTCTATTATTATTATTATTATTACTATGGATAATTACTTGTATAAGATTAGTAGTGGGGAAGAAGCATTGTCGTTTGATTTTGTTATACATTTTATGAGATTATTTTCTAATCCAGTGCCTTCCAACTCTCAATATCTTTTTTTCTTCATATACCTACATCCTACTTAATAAACGCTGTACATTACTCTCTGTCTTATGCTCTACACAAAATATACATATAGTAGTTTAACGTCGTTCGTCAATTGTATGATAACTCATCCAAAACGACGAACAGTTGGTTCAATGTATCTCATTACTTCACTTACACACACACACACACAGATATTTATCCATTTGTGAAATAAATTTAATTTCATATTGAATCTTCCCGTGTTTGATGATTATTTACTCATTGTTGGTCTGTCGGTTCACTTCTCTTCTCTCTTGTTTTCTATCTATCGTCTTTATCTATGCTTCGTATTTTTTTCGTTTCATATTAGATAATGTGATTCCTACAATTTTTTACGATCATCATTACTATTATTATTATCATTGTAATTTTGTATTGCTTTCTTACTGTTTTCCTTCAGTATGTTTCAGAAAATCCTTTATCCTAGCGAGAACTTGAATTTATTTTGTTGGTTATCCCTTCTGCTTTTATATTTTTTATTGTGTTACACCTACTTTGATGATAGTGGCTATCTTACCGCAGATCAACAGTTTGTTCGGAAAATCTAATGTATCTGTCTGGGTGATGAGAAGTTATTTCTAGTTTTCTTCACTTCTCTTGTGTGTTCGTTTATCTACTTTTAAATATAAAGAAAATAATATCCTTTCTCTTTGTGTACTCTCTCTCTCTCTCTTTATATTCAACTTCCGTACAGTTTACATAAGTAAATTGTTCAGATATATACAATGAATTATGTGTAAAAACTTTAATTGTATAAGACATAGTTTGAAGTAGAAAATCAAAACGTTTCTATTATGTTATGCTTTATTCTTTTCTTTTGTTTACCTGTTACTTCGTTCTGTATCTGTTTTTTTCTCTCCTAATTTTTTCTCTTTTGATTTATTCTTGCTCCGGCTCGTACGCCCCCGTCCCCATTCGCTACGTACAAATCTTTCATTTTTGATGCCTTTCTCTCTGTCGACCTGTTAATCTATCTGTCTGTCTTCATAGTCTTTCGATTTGTTAGACGTCTTATACCATATTTGTTTTCAATCTTGATAATTGAAAGAAAAAAAACGAAATGTAATACGTTGTGGAATTTGTATTCTATGAAGAAAGACCTTTCTGTGACACAATTCTTTAATTGTATCTTTGTTAGATTAATTGATTTGAGGTTACCGTGATTGATCCAATGTTCAATTTTTCTTTAATTCTTTGTAGACAAACTTCGTAGTTAATCATAAGTTATGTAGGAGTTGATTCGAGTTTGATACACTAAATCAACATGGTTAGATGAAATTTTCGATGTAAATCTCGGAGCAGTATAAGTGGTAGCAATATCATCACCAGTTGTAGTAGAAAATATTAGGCATAAACAGTATGATTTGCAAAGAATGAATGAATTTGTAGAATAAAATAGCGTATAATATTTAAAAAACTTGGAGCTCGAGGAAGGTAAAGCGTTAATGTACCTTATTCATTGTGGGCCATGTGATCCAACATGTCAAACTACTGATTATGATAATTAAACGAACCTCAACTAAATAGTCTGCTCCTACCTACATAGCTCAGTTTATAGACTGATTTTGCGTCTTTAATGGACCCCCTCTGTATTTCTTCAAACCTACTCTTACTAGTCAATATCGCTCTTTGAGGTAGTTGGTGGTTGGAATATACAATGCATGTCCTAACCACTTCAGTCAAACCTTTGTCAGTTTTGTTAAAAAATTCTAAATTTAACAATAAAACTTCATTTAACCAATAAAATCTATGTGTAGATAGGGAAAAACAATTAGGTTCTGGTTTGTGCATTGAGTAGTCACATTTTGAGTAATGCTTCATCAATGGATAGCTATACTCTATGATGGTTGAATGATGAATCATCCTAAGGAGAGTGTTGTTTCCGAACTCGCTGTCATTTATGCTTTTTAAAGTCTTATTTTAGAAAAATAATACCAAGTTTTATGTAGACAGAACTATTAACCATTAATGATGATTATATTTTCCGAATTGGAAGTGTTTTAAATTATTCTATGAGATAAAAATTAGTTATATATGTAATGAGGCATGAAATTTCAATTATACTAAGTTTTACAATCCGTATCAGTCACTTATACAAATAAGTCTTTGGATACTCGAATTCGGATATATTTTACATTAAAGAACTCATTTAAATACAATAAACTAAATTCAGCTTCTGAGCATGATTGAATAACTCTTTAGTTTAAAGTAGTTCATGTAATTTTACTTATCCTCGATATTGCTAACCGTTCTGATATAACCTCAGATCAATTGTTATAGATGAGTGCAAATAATAAGACTTTTAAGGAGGAGTGGTGATAGACTGAATAATCCCAGCTGGATCATTTAGTTTGCTGCCCCAAGGACACATGGTAAATGAGAGACGAAAGTTGTAGATATACTATCAGAAATAAGTGGACTATTCACATAGCCAAGATAACCAAATGCATACCCTTGTCTAAATCAGTCCGGTAGCTTATATTTATCCATCAGCTTTTTTGCTTTATTATTCTGCTTTGGCGATAAAGTTCTCCGCTTAGTCCAATTAATAGGCCATTCAAATGTTCATTGGTAATTAAATCGGAAAACAGAATACCATACATTATCCCCTAAAGAAGCCCGAACCAAACTTGTAAGCAAAACATCAGGATTATTTTAATCTCAATATACTCGATGTCCAACTGTAGTGAAGAAGAACACGGGTGGGGACAATCGACTGTATTTGGCACAAAAATTACAGACTATCTCAATATAATGTGAATACCATAAAGTCAATCGTCAATTTGCAAAATATCATTCCATCATATCAAACTGTACTGTTCCCGTTGCAAACACTAATCCATTGCCTCCCATTCCATTGTACATGCGTTTTCTTACAATTGCATTGTGTTCTTGCTCTTCCTTTCTTGATCTTCGCCATCTTCTGCTGCCGGACATTACGTTCTTTTAACGCACGTTATATACTACTTATATCAATATAAGTAGGTCACACCACACAACTAGTTCGGAAGTGTTTGTTCAAATTCCGACACAACATATAGAAGCTTTCCTTTCAGTTATCAAAGTTTTCAATGTTGAAGCCTAAATGGAATTCCGAAGGTTGTCAGTGACTTTGAATAAATAAATTACCATTAAGCTAGTGATCTGTTTGATTCCTTTTCAAATCCTAGCGAATGATATCATGTCATTAAGCACACTTTTACGGCAGATCAGCCGTTTTTAGATTTTCTCGTTCCTTGCAGATCATTTCATACTCCTCTTAACGATGTTTTATGTTTAACTGGCTTTTAAGTTGTTGAGAAAGTATGTGATATAATGACATTCCACGTAGTCGCTTCTGAAAACTTTAAGTAAGTATAAAATCATAGTTTAAGAATTCGATTAGCTGTCGCTGATCATAAATTTTCGGTTACTTATCACTTGTTGTTGGTAATATTATTGTTTCTAAGACATAATCAATTTTCCCATCAACCACGCAACCACTATATCTATAGGTCAACCGCATTTGGTACTGCTCCAAAAGTTTTAGTAATATATATGCAAAAATCCTCTGGAATATTGTTTTGCCTTCCTAATAGAAAGAATAATCGTTGGCCATGATGACGCTTGAGGAGGAAGTTTAGAGTTAAAAGTCGAGGCTGAATGAATAATAGTAATTGATTATGATTACAGTGATCTTGAGTGCCGTTAGAGATGTGAGAGCGCTTTCCACTTCCCAGTTGCCCATACCGTGGAAGGGTTCTTCTAGAGGTACCTGAAAATGAAATTGGGTTAGAGGTGGTATTAGTGACATGAGAGCGTAACCTCAGTGGACAAGGGACAACGGCTTGAGGCTGGCCACACACAACGTTTATGTGAGTAATTTTTGTGTTAGCTCCCTACTTGTTAGGACCTTACCGCAAGAGACGGGAATCCGTGGGATAAGGCGAGGTGTGGATTTTTATGGTTGACATTCCTTAATCACACCCTCCCTTTGTGGGAAGAGTCGCATCACTGTTATGCTTTTTGTCTGAAGGGAACACCTTACTGCCGTAACACCTCTGTACAGTTAGCAGTATGACTTCTCCTTAGGACTTTGAGTTTGCTGCTTTTAGTTTTATCGCTCTTCAATCGACCTGTCTAGCATGGTAGGACATTGAAGAACAATTATTCTAGTCAATATGACTTGATTAATTCATTACGATGGGCAAGTGCAACCACCACATCAAGATAGCAGTAACAATCATTAAACACTCCTATGAAATCACTAATTCAACCTAAATCCATTGTTAGATCGTCGAATTTTCATATTATTCTCTTGACAACATGGAATACGAGATAGAATTAGTCAACAAAGACTTATCCAAAATGTTGAGAGATCTATTGTTCCATAAATAAAATTCTTATCATTTCCATATATGATACTAGATTAGCACTTTTATTTATTCAATCATCACTGTAGTAGAATTAAATTAACTCAACACTCGAACTGATAAGTCTTGTTTATTTGGACGCTTTATTCGGTTCCTAAGCTATTCTGGTAACCCGCAAGCTAGAACTACGCAGCGACCTGAACTCGAGAGAAAAGTCGCAAAATAAGCGAAAAAACACTTTACTCCAAAGGTTCATTTTTTGTACAGAAAAAACATGGGTATTTATAGATGTTAACATTTGTTAAATCAACATCATATTTTGACCAATCCGTTAAAAGACATATTGTGCTACTGACCTAAATAAGTACGTCACGATGATAATCTAGAAAGCTCCATCATGCTCTGATTGGCTTACTTTATTAATTTATTTGAACACATAAATATTGGTACAAGAGGGCACCAAATATATTTGCACCTTAGATCATGTTTTTTGTGCGGGCTGAGATACTGCCCAGGTGCCCGAACCAAAGCAGATGGTTTTCTTAAGGGGCCACACCCCGAACCTTTGACCTAAAGGTCTAACCCGCAAGGCAGTGGAGCATCATGAGGAGAAACAGTCCCATGGTAGCCGGTGACCAAGAAATTGGTTCATACGCCATTTGTTCCCACAAGATACTGGAGCCCATGTGCACCATTGATTTGGGATCTGGTTAAAGCGCCGGACATTCGCTTTTCGTCCTCTCAATTTCTTAAACAACACTCTGATTGGCCAGGACTCTTCAGCTCCTTTAGGGCCTCTGGAGGCTCCGCTGCATTTCTCGGAAAGCCGACTGAACACCAATACCAAACAAAACAAGAAAAAAAAGGCAAGTAGTGATTTAAATATATTTTTTCCTCTTAATGTTTTTCTCTTCCAAAGAAAACAAACAATCAGTAGTATCACAAAAGTTTCACCTTTTTATCACATGTCTCTTTTTTTTAAATTTTTCTGTAGTCAATAATTTTGTAGAATAGTTTTAAACAAGAAGAAGAAGAAAAAGAAAGAAAAAAGAAAAAAAAGTAAACTGTAACAACTTCATGTGATTATATGATCGATTGACATTAAGCTCTAAACAGTATTATTCATTTTAATGTTGTGAGTGCATAAAAACTTTAATCAATAATATTGTGCATAAATCAATTTTATAATAATAATCAATTATTGATGTTATTATTAATCTTTTCTTTTTTAGAAATATTTGATCTGAAAAATATTTCTAGTATAGGGGTTGTGGAGATAGATCTGACGAGCTTATCTTGTAAATAGTTTTTAATATTATTTGTATTTGTTTTGTCAATATTTCACTGTATGTACATTTATCATTAAATGACTGTACCTGTTGTTTAAGTAAAATGACCTTGAAGACTTTTTCCGTTGTAATTCTGACATAGCGTGATATACTTTCGGTGGTTCGCAAATACACTACTACGCACATACCCATTGTTCTATTGTCGCTCGTTACCGAGTCAATTGCGTTCTAAACTGGATATTATCCTCATTTCAGACTGCTGTGTCATTTCCATTATACCCTACGTCAAAGAAACTTATTAGCGTCATATTTACCTCTGTGGAATTATTACGCATTTATAATTGTGGATTTATGGGACCGATTTAAGTAACGTCCCTGAACTTTTAATTTGTGTTGTTAATTTATAAATTATTATTGTTACATTAATTTTGGACGTAACTTTATTACTGATTTTTGGTTATTATACTTTTTGGTCCACCACGGGGTTTTGGAGATTGTTAAGTTTTTGATTGAGATCACGAGGTGATTGATGTCAGACCACCTTTGGAAACCTGGGAGCACTGGACGGCCGTTTCGTCCTATTGTTGGACTCCTCAGCAGTGCGCATCCATCCAAAGGTGGTCTAACATCAATCGGTTCATGATCTCAATAAAAAAACTGAAAAATATTTGTTTTTTATTCTTTGTTTCATGTTAAATTATTGGTGATTAATATCCCAATTGAGTTTGTCTTTTGTCTTTTTTTATATAATTTCAATATAAAGAACATGGAATTGATGATAATGAATGGTTAATCATTATTTTATGTATAGTTCTAATGATAATCTTGTTTAACATAATTCATTCATTATCGTGTAAGTATTCAATTTATGGTTTACACTATTGA